ACTCGTCGCACACCACTTACATGAAGGAAGAAGTGGACAGATATCGCGTGACGATCGGCAACCGAACGTGTGTTTTCGACAAAGAGAACGACCCGACGATTCTGCGCTCTCCGTCCACCGGTTTGTGATATCTTCTTCATTATCTCCTTTACTCACGTGTTGATTGACAGGAAAACTGCTGCAATTCCTGGTGGAGGACGGATCGCACGTGTATTCCGGTCAGGCGTACGCCGAGATCGAGGTGATGAAGATGGTCATGACTTTGACCACTCAGGAGTCGGGCATTGTTCAGCACGTGAAGAGGTCGGGCGCTGTTCTGGAGGCCGGATCTATTCTGGCGCGTCTCGAACTGGACGACCCGACGCGCGTCCATCGCGCAGAACTCTTCACTCTGGGTTTCGACGCGTTGTGCGAAACGGACTCAGGTGAGCGAAAACAGACCAATGAATTGAGATAACAACTCTCTCTGCAGACGTGGTTTCGCACGCGTTGGCGGTCATCGACGGCCACAACAGCAATTCGGAGACCAAACTGAACGTCTCGTTCACGACCGCCAAAAACCACTTGGAGAACATTTTGGCCGGTTTCGGACTTCCCGAACCCTTCTTCAGCCAAAACATGAACCTCTATGTCGAGCAGTTCATGGAATGTCTGCGCGATCCTCGACTTCCGCTTCTCGAGCTCCAAGACATCATTTCGTCGACTTCCGGCAGAATTCCATCTCAAGTGGAAAAATGCATTCGAAAACTAATGAACAACTATTCGAGTATTTATTTCCCGAAAATAACCAAAAATCACTAAATCTCTCTCTTTAGGCAACATTACCGCCATTTTGGCCGCTTTTCCGTCGCAACAAATCGCTTCCGTCATCGACTCCTATGCGGCCACTCTTCAGAAGCGCGCCGACAGAGACGTCTTCTTCCTCAACACTCAGGGAATCGTCCAATTGGTCCAAAGGTATCGCAACGGTATTCGCGGAAGAATGCGTTCTTGCGTTCAGGAATTGGTTCGCAATTACATAGAAGTGGAACAACACTTCCAAAGCGGTCATTACGACAAATGCGTTTCTCAGTTGCGCGAGAAGTTCAAAGAGGAGGGCATGGCGTGCGTCGTGTCGCAGATCTTCTCGCATCTGTCGGTCACCAAAAAGAATCAACTCATCATCAAGGTCAGTCTTTTTGCTTCTGATCCCAACTAACCCCTTCCTCCTCCTCCGCAGCTGATCGACCACTTGTGCGGACACGAGCCGGGCATCACCGACGAGTTGTCGTCCATTCTGAACGCGCTGACAATCCTGAACAAAGCGGAGAACGCGAAGGTGGCGCTGCGCGCGCGCCA